CTGGAACAAAAAAAACAGAAGGAAACACATTCAGCCGCCATCTTTGAGCGGGGCGTCTAGTCTGACCTGGGCTCCCAGGGAAGGCAGGGAGACGTGGTTGCTAGGCAATGCGTAGGGGGCCCTGGTTTTCCAACAGAGGGATTAAATTAAGTCTGGCGCGGGAGACTGGGGAAGGGACGTGTGGAGGAGCCAATCGTCTCATCTGCAAACGAGGTTACTACGCAACGCTCTGAGGTTGAGCGCAACTTGGAAGAGTGCAGCTGTTTTCTATCGTGAAGAATCTGGACTCCATCCTAAATGGAGGCTGCTAGGCAACACCTGATCTCTGTTTTCTGGGAGAGAAACCAGAAGGTGGCCCTGAATATAAATACATTTCAGGGGAGTTAAAAATGTTGATGTCACAATGTAATCCTAAACCTAGGGGAAGGGAAGATAAATACATTGTATAATCCTGAAAACTGGATAGTGGTCAGCTACCACAAAGCTGCAAAACACAACATCTTCATAAATTTGCTGGTCAAAGACTACATAAACCAAGTTTTAAAATGTTCAATAGCCAGGTGTGGTAGCTCACGCCTGTAATCCCAGCACTCAGGAGGCTGAGACAGGAGCTTAGGGGAAGAGTTCGAGGTCAGCCTGGGCTGGTGAGTTCAAGGCCAGCCTGAACTGCATAGCGAGACCCTATCTCAAAAACAAAAAAGGGACAATAAATTGGGAAAATGTTTGTAACATGTGTGGACAGAAATTTACTATACAAAGCTGGGTGTGGTGGTGCATGCCTGTAATCCCAGCACTGAGGTGGCTGAGGCAGGAGGATCCATCCAAGCTCAAGGCCAGTCTGGGCAACACAGAGAGTTCAAAGCCAGCCTGGACTACACGGCAAGGCTGTACAAAAAAAAGAAAGCGGGGCGTGGTGATACGGGCCTGTAATCCCAGCACTTGGTAAGCTGAGGCAGGACCATCGTGATGAGTTCAAAGCCAGCCTAAATTACATAGCAACACCTTGTCTCCAAAAATAATAATGATAATAATTTGGAAATATAAAAGCACTTTTAAAAAGGAAAACCGACTCATACACACAGAGTTTTAAGAAAAAACTTTTTTTTGGTACTAGGGATCGAACTCAGGACCTTGCAATTTCAAAGCAGGCACAGTGCCACTGAGCTAAATCCCAGCCCTAAAAACATTTTTTTTTAAATAGAGTATTATTACTGGGCTTGGCGCCCCACACCTGTAATCCCAGAACTTGGGAGGCTAAGGCAGGAGGATCGCCAAGAGATCAAGCCCAGCGTGGACAACACAGTGAGTTTAAGGCTGGGCTGAACTACATAGCAAGACCCTGTCACGAAAAAAGAAAACAAGGGCCGGCATTTAGCTCAGTGATTTCGCCACCTGTTGTGCAAGCGCAAGGATCCGAGTTCGATCCCAGTACCAAAAAAAAAAGAAAACAAAACAATAATGATAATAATAATAATAAATAAAATAGAGTATTGTGAATATTCCCAGCACGAATACATGAGGTGATGGATATACTAAGTATACTGACCTGATAATTACACATTGAATACATGTTTTACTCCATCAGTATGCACAAATGTATTTCAATTAAATATATAAAGTACTTTAAATTTTTTAAACGGGAAACATTTGAAAATTTATCATCTTCACCAATTGACAGGGCAGAAAGCCCAGTGAGCCTGTGCAGTGATGCATACCTGTAATCCCAGCTACTCTCCTGAGGCAGGAGAATCACATTTTCAAAGCCAATCTGGACAAATTATCAAGACCCATCTCAGAAAAGGGATGGGAATGTAGCTCAGTGGCAGTGTGACCCTGAGTTCAATCTCTAGTATGGAAAAAGAGAAAGAGAAAAGGAGGGTAAAGAGAAGAAAGAAAAGAGAAACTGCTCAACTGTATTGGAGCATGTTGTTCTTATGTTCACTGCTATTGAATAATGCCAAAATCTGCTGATTTCCCCCCAAACTTACCATCATGGACAATGATTCTTCCCAAAATTAGTTGGGATAACAAAGACAAATTACACCACTGGGTTTTGTTTTTATTTATTTTTTTAACTGAGGATTGAATCCAGAGTCTGGCACATGCTCAACAAGTCCTCTACCAATTAGTTACATTCTCAACCCTTTAAAAAAATTTTTTATTAGGGTGTTTTGTTTTGTTTTGAGACAGGATCTTGTTATGTACTTCAGGCTGGCCTTGCACTCACTATGTAGCCCAGACTGGCCTTGAATTCATGGCAGTTCTCCTGCCTCAGCCTCCTGAGAGCTGGGGTTACAAGTGTGAGCTACTGTACCCGGGAACACTGACTTCTTAACAGCAAAACTGGAGATTAGGAGATGGTAGGATAATATACACAGTCCTTTTTCTTTTTAATTTTTTATTCTCTTTTTTTTTTGGTACTGGGGATCGAACTCGGGACCTTGCGCTTGAGAGGCAGGCAGTGGAACCACTGAGCTAAATCCCCGGCCCCATATACACAGTTCTTTGAGAAAAATTAGCTATAATCCATGGATTGTACAATAATGAGGGTGAGACAAACTCACTTTAGATGATATAAATATTACAATTAAACTCCAAAAGATGTATTTCAGAAGTAGAAAATTAAAAATTCTGCTTCACTGGTTCCGCCACCTGCTGCGCAAGCGCAAGGACCTGAGTTTGATCACCAGTACCAAAAAAAAAAAAAAAAAAAATCTGCTTCACTGCTGCCTGCCTCACAAACTCAAGGTTCTGAGTTTGATCACCGGGCCAAAAAAGAAAAACGATGCCCAAATGAATTGTAAACATATATATAATTATAAACATTGCCTGTGTAAAATAATACAAATATTCAAACTGGTTGTAGTAACCCAGACCTGTAATCCCAGCACTCTGGGAGGATCAGGCAGGAAGATCACAAATTTAGCCCTTCACCTGAGAAAGTTAGTGACTTAGCAAGACTTTGTCTCCAAATAAAAAATAAAAATGGCTGGAATGTAACTCAGTGTGAAGACCCTGGGTTCAATCTCTACTACTGAAGAGGGCCGGGGGGAGGAGAACAAGAAATACAGAAGTAACCCTGTTTTGTTTTGTTTTTTTGGTAGCAGGGATCCAACTCCGGACCTTGTGCTTTCGAGGCAGCGGCCGGAGCCACTGAGCTAAATCCCTGGCAAGAATAAGAAATATAAAAGAGGGCAGAACTAGATCCAAATTTATTAGTGGTTAAAAATTCCTGGACCTGGCCAGGGATTTAGCTCAGTGGTTTTGCCGCCCTGCTGTGCAAGCGCAAGGACCCTGGTTGGATTCCCCAGTACCAAAAAAAAAAAAACAAAAAATTCCTGGACCTGAACCGGGTGTGGGTGGTACATGCCTATAATCCCAGCACTTAGGAGGATGAGCCAGGAGGATTGTGGTGAGCTCTGTTAGGGTAAATGGAAACACGTCTGAGCCCACCCGAGCAGGCAAAAATGAAGCAACAAGCGAGCTTTTATTTTCAGCCTGGGTGCAGGTGAGTCAAAGGTGACAAAGCCATTGACCATGAGGGCTTGGGCAAGGGGAAACTTTATAGGGGAGTTTGGGTAGGGGAGGGGTAGCACCAGGAGGAGTGGGAAATTTTGTCCTGAAATGGAGGAAATCTTTTGTGCTGGGATGGAGGAAGTCTGGTGGTCTCCAGGGATATCTGGACCCACAGGTGTTGCTGCCAGGGGCTGGATGGCTGTTTATATCCAATGCAGGCCTTGACTTTCTGTTATCCACTGTGCCTTGCAGGATGTGTGAAGGTGTTACCTGGGAAGTTTTTCTCTTCTGCCCAGGAGAGGGTCTGACAAGTTCTAAGCCAGCCTGGGTTACATGCTGAGTTCAAGGCCAGCCTGAAATGTATATTGAGACTCTGTCTCAAAAAAACAAGACAAAACAACAAAAACAACAAGCAAATAAAAAAAAAATCCTGGACATATGGGGAGAACTTTATATTTTACTTTAAAAATAATTTTTGGTATCTTTTTTTCTCTAGAAGTGTGATGTAATTTAATGTGCAGAATAAACATGTTGGTTTTTTTTCTCATCAGCTATTAGTGATCAAATCAATAATGAAAATAAAACATTTAAAAACAAATATGCATGCTTGGAATTCCAGCTATTAGGGAGGCTGAGTCAGGAGGATCAAAAATTTGATGCCAGGGCTGGGGATTTAGCTCAGTGGTATGGGCGCCTGACTGGCAAGTGCAAAGCCCTGAGTTCAATCTCTGGTACCAGAAAAAAAACACAAAACTTTAGTTAAAAAAAAAAAATTTTGATTCCAGCCTGTGCAATTTAGCAAGAAGAATTTGTTTTAAAATAAAATTTAGGGGGCTGGGGATCTAGCTCAGTGCTTCCGCTGCCTGCCTTGCAAGCACAAGGGCCTGAGTTGATCCCTGGTACCAATCCCCAGTACCACAAACAAAGGGGAGGGAATAAAAGGCTTTTTGTTTTTAAAAATTGTTATTTAAATTTTGTAAATATGCTTGCAAAATGACAGCAACTGTTCTCACACACATATAAAAAGAAACTATCTAGCTACTCAATTGCTAACTCAATGAAGATTTACTGTGTCACTTTACTCCCAAGAAAGAACTTAGCATGTCAATACAGAACTATTCAAATCAATTTGTTACATCTATAAAATTGATTGCAAAGAGACAAAAAACTTACATTTTTGGTGAGAAAAAGAGACTGAAACATTAGTACAAATATATTTGCAAAAACATGTATATTCTGTGTTAAATAGAATTCGTTTTTGGAATTTGGAAAATATTTTCACATTTTACTGCACATGATAAAATATCAGGGATAAAATGACAAAAATAATATAATTTTTATGATTCTGGAAAATTAAGGATTTTTTTCCCTTTTTCTAACAAAAACAAGTATCTTATTTGGTGGTTACTAATCCACGCTCGCCGGAACAAACCACTCTCTAAACTGAGGGGGAAGTCCGTGTGGTCATTTTTGAGCAGGGTACAACCATTTACACTTGCAGAATGAAAGTATAAATGAACAGTGGTTGCTAGGTAACGACGTACACTGTCGCCATCTTTGAATGGGGCACCTGTTTACCACTATAAAATGGAAATACAGACAACATGGTTGCTAGGCAATGCCTTGGCATCGTCGCCATCTTTGATCGGGGCACAGTTTTTCCATTTAGAACGTAATTAATTATCTTACAGGACGGTTACTAGACAACACCTTGAGACGATCGCCACCTTCAGGCTAGTCTTCATTCTCGTTAAACAAATGAAGTCAAATAACGTCAGACAGAAACTATAAAGTTTTGCGTGTACGATTATCTGCCATCTTTGTTAGGGGTATGGTGTCTTCCGACCGGGGCGGAAGTGAACGTCACAGGGTTTGAGGATTTGTTTGAGTTGGGTGAAGGAGGCGGGGATTTAGTCCCCTTCCAATTAGCGGCTCAGGAGGGCACACCGACTTACTGTGCTGTGATTACCTACCAGCTCCCGGCCCGGCACTAACAGTACCTGGGAGAGACTCAGCGGGGAGCTTTCCAAATGGGAGAGGAGGGGACAGGGGGCACTGTGCATCTGCTGTGCCTCGCAACCTCCAGCGGGGTCCCCCTGTTCTGCAGGAGCAGCCGGGGCGGTGCCCCAGCGCGTCAGCAGGTGGGGCCTAGACACCTGGAACCAAATAGGGGGCTAGGGCGCTTGCACTCCAGGTCTGTAAGGGAGGAGGGGCAGGGAGGTTTCTGCTTTGACTTTAGCGATCCATGGGGGACACACCTAGGTGTGTGCGCTGGTTCGTCGCAGGGAGCTGCCAGGGAACATGGGAGAGGGGCTGGAAGCTCCAACACTTGGAACTCAAGGGGTAAGTAATGGGGTGCCCCTGTCTAATGCCACCAGCTCTTCTCCAGCTCCCGTTCTCTGTCATCGGCTCCCTCAATGGAGTCCACATGTTCGGCCAGAATCTGGAGGTGCAACTGAGCTCTGCGAGGACGGAGGACACGACTGTGGTGTGGAAAAGCTTCCATGACAGGTCCCTAGGTGGAGCTTGGGGCAGGGACAGAGCTTGAGTGATAACCCCTGTTGAAGATGACCTGGTGGGCTTCCAGCTGTTTGGCTGTGGGATCCATAAGAGAGTGATCCTCTCTGACCCCTGATTTCCTCTGTAGGAGAGGCAGGTTGGGCTGAGAGAAGATACAGCTTAGATTCTGGGGTCAACAGGCAGATTCGGCTTTACCTATTGCCCTGTTTCCCACATCTGGACTCATTCTTCCTTCTCCCCTTCTTTTTTTTGTTGTTTGTTTTTTGGTACCAGGGATCAAACTTGGGTCCCTGCGCTTGCGAGGCAAGCGGCGGAACCACTGAGCTAAATTCCCAGCCCCCTTCTCCCCTTCTGTCCCCACAGCATCACCCTCATTGTTCTGTCATCAGAGGAGGGCACCTCAGAGCTGAGGCTGGAGCGACTGCTGCAGATGGTATTTGGGGCCATGGTGAGAACCTGCAGCACTCTTTTCTACCAAACCCTCATCAATCTCCTCTCTTAGCACTCAGGAATCCTGGTCTTCAGTCAAAGCACCCTTCCTCCCTGAGACCCAGTTTAGGTACCATCCTCTGCTCTATTAGAACCATTCGTCAAGGGGCCTTACTCTCCTATGTGGTTCTTCTAGGTTCTTCTTGTAGGACTTGAAGAACTGACAAATATCCGAAATGTGGAGAGACTGAAGAAGGAGTTGAGGGTGAGGCTTCAGGACACTGGGATGGGAAATCAGGGTACCAAGGCACTGCCATTCGGGCACTGCAGCTCCCAGCACCCCCAGGAACAGACGACCCCATAGTTTCCTGGGGAAACTATGTGTGACCCTGGAGGTCCTGCACTGCCAGTTCTCTCTGGAGGAGTCTGCAGATGTGGGGCCCTCCTGGGTCCTAGGCTCCTCCTCTCTCCCTCTGCCAGGCCAGTTACTGCCTCATCGACAGCTTCCTGGGGGACCCAGAGCTCATCGGGGACCTGACCCAGTGTGTGGACTGTGTGATTCCTCCAGAAGGGTCGCTCCTGCAGGTACTGGCGAGGCTATAGAAACTCAGAAGTCTGTACCTGTGGCTCTGGCTCAGTCCTCATCTTTTCCCTCTGGACCACTGTCCCAACCTCCTATCCTCTTGTCATCCAGTCTGGCCTCTCCTTAGTCCTAGAAGAATCCTCCCACACCTTGAGCTAGGGTTTCCCTCCACTGCTCAATCCTGTGGCTTCCACCTCCCTCACGACAAGCCTCCAGCCCCCCAGCCCTGTTTTCAGGGCCTGTAGAATCTGTTGCTAAATCCACAAACTACCTTCCCACCTGCCTCATGGGCCTCACAAGGCCCAAGAGTTTTCCAGCTTTCCAACCTTGGAACAGGCTTCTTCGCCTGGTGAATCTCCATCTACCTCTCCTTCAGCACTGCTCATCTGTTCACCTGGCATGGGCATCTCCCAGCAGTGTGACTGCCCACCAGGGATTTGACCTCTCTGAGCTGCCTACTTGGCACAGTGCCCTTTCAATCAGCCATAGCTGCTGCTATTACTGTTCAGTACGCGCGGGTCAGGCTGGCAGTTTAATTACGCTGGAAAGTGAGTTGGGGACTGTGACCACATGTGAAGACGAAGGAGTTCAGGCTGAGAGGATGTGACACATGAGCTTGGCTGCTCAGCAAGCTCTGGACTGTCCCTGTGTCTCTTTCCCTTCCTCACCTACGTGGGAGTCACTGCCACCCACCCCGTTCTTGTCTTCTGACTCCCCGTCCACTTTCCTTTCCAGGAAGCCCTCTCTGGCTTTGCTGAGGCCACCGGGACGGTCTTCGTCAGTTTGGTGGTGTCGGGCCGAGTAGTCGCAGCGACCGAGGGCTGGTGGCGGCTGGGGATGCCTGAGGCCGTGCTGCTCCCTTGGCTTGTGGGGTCCCTGCCACCGCAGGCCGCTCGCGACTACCCCGTGTACCTACCGCATGGGAGCCCCACGGTGAGTGGGTGTGGCCGGCGGGACATGGCCGGGGGAGGCCTGGCTCCAGGTCCAGTCCAGTTGGAAAGGGAAGGGGCCAAGCCAAGGTCAGCCCCACCCTGTGCCCTTCTTCAGGTCCCCCACAGGCTCCTGACCCTGACGCTGCTGCCCAGTCTGGAGCTGTGTCTGCTCTGCGGGCCGAGCCCACCCCTCAGCCAGCTAGGCGCGCAGGTGAATCCCTCTTTCCCACTTCCCGCCCTAAGACAATTCCACCTGCCTGTCACACCCCCCCAGGCTAGCCAGCGAGTTCATCCAGAAGGCCCCGCCCCTCAGGGTGTGATCCAATCACCTTCAGACCAGTTGGCCCAGCCCCCGTCTAGGGGTTCCCTCGGATGCCTCTCTTCCTGCAGGCCCCGCCCTTACTTGGTTCTGCCCTCTCATTGGTGCCCACGGGCCCCGCCTCTCAATGATCACGCCCCACACTGACCATGCCCACAGCTTCTGGAGCGCTGGTGGCAGCCCCTGCTGGACCCACTGCGGGCCTGCCTGCCGCTGGGGCCCCGCGCGCTGCCCGAAGGCTTCCCCCTGCACACGGACATCCTCGGGTAAGGCTCGGGAGTGGAGTGGGTTGGCGGTCTTCACCCCTCTTCCCGATCTGTGACACGCTCTGCCCCACAGGCTGCTGCTCCTGAACCTGGAACTGAAACGCTGCCTCTTCACTGTGCAACCCTCGGGAAATAAAGGTGACTGTGGACGGGGGGGGGGGGGGGGGGGGGGGGGGGGGGGGGGGGGGGGGGGGGGGGGGGCGGCGGCGCGGGAGGGCTATGGGCCAGGGCCGCCCTCGAGCCTGTTTTCTCCCCTCCAGAGCCTTCCCCAGAACAGCGCCGCCACCTCCTCCGCAACTTCTACACCCTGGTCACCAGCACATACTTCCCCCCAGGTCAGTGGCAGGCAAGGTGCCCTAATCACAGACAGGGACACTTGAGTCCCGGGTTGTACAAGGTGGGAGCAAGAGGTGGGGGTTGGAGCCAGGAGCACTGAGCATTGTCACAGGCAGGCAGGGACCTGGCCGGCTCTGGAACCTCCTGTGTCATCCTAGCCGTAATGGTGAAGACTGAGGCCTCTTCTTTTGCCTGGGCTTTTACGCATAAAGGCTCTTTCATTCTCCTGGTGAGGAGTCTCCTGTCACACTGTCATTCCCACACCACACAGCAGGAGGCAGGATTCAGACCCTGGCAGCGGCTGGGCTCCCTGTTCACAAAGGACCTGCCCCACTCTACTCCTGAAAGCACAGCTTCCCTGGCAGCTGGGGAGCAGGGCGTGGAGTCTACAGACTCCAGGGGAGGAAGGAAGAGTTGCAGAGTCCACAAAGCCCCAAAGGGCAGCACCCTTGCGCATGTGGAGGTGTAGGGGGTGAGGTCCTCAGTAGGGTCTCTGCAGCCTGCATGTTGCAGTCTGGGTTGTTCAGAGCATGGCCTGGGCCACACATGCTTCCCAAGAAAGCGAGGACCATGCTGGACAGGGAGAGGTTGAAAGTCTGAGGCCCCCAAACCCTACGCTGAGACTCCACCAATTGAGAACCTAGGCCTAGGACCAGGTTTGGCTTCCAGGATTTAGCATTCTAACTCCCCTCTGTCCTGTCCCCAGAGCCTGGGGCATCCGAGAAGGCGGAGGATGCAGGGCACCGGTCCCAGCTGCCAAGAGCTTGCTACCTCGTGCTGGGGCCAGGCATGGGGTGGCAAGTAGTGGCTCTGCAGCTGGGGCCCCGACAGCTGCTGCTACTGCTGTCTCCTCAGAGCCCCACCCATGGGCTGCGAGCCCTGGCCACCCACACTCTGCATGCCCTCACCCCGTTCCTATGACCACCTATGAGCCAGCGGAGGGCCCAGACACCAGGCTATTAGCGTCTGTTTATTCGCTCACAATAATATGCAGCCCCTGAACAGGGAGGGGAGGAAGGGCCACAATGGGGGGGGGGAGGTACCCACTTCCCTGGCCCCTCTCCCCTCTGTGCTTGGGGGTGACAGGGAGGGAGGGGGCTCCCCCTTACCCCCTAGAATGTAAACAGCAGCAGATGAACAAAAATAAAAATACAAAAGGCTGGAGGAAGGTCCCAGGCATCCCCTACCCCTGGTGTCTTCCCTGTCACCAGTGCCGGTCCCCTCGTTGTCCCATCTGCCAAAGCTGCCTCAGTCCTAGGAGCTGCCTGACACCAGCCACATCCCCAGGGCAGGGTCCAGGGCTCAGAACTGCTGGGCCAAAAGCTCACAGAGGTGACGGGAGACGGACTCCTTGCTGGTGCGCAGGGTCAGCCGGTACATCTGTGGGGGGTAGGGAGGGGTCAAGGAGGGGGGACACAAGGGAAAGGAAGGACGAAGAAGGGTGATGTAAGATAGAGGAAGTAAAGGATGAAAGACGGAAGAGCACAAGAAAGGTGGAAAGGACACAGACAAGTAAGAGGGACAGAGGAAGAATGCACCAAGACAGGTGCCAGGTGAGTCCAAGGTCCCTCCCTCCGCACCTCTGCAGCTACACACCTGAGCCTGGGCGTTGGGCTCCAGCCGGAGCAGACAGCCCACCTGCAGGGCTTTCGTCTGGATGATTCCGGCCCCCACAAAGTTCTCAGGGTTAGGGTCCACATTGTCCAGGAGGGCAGAGCCAAACCCCAAGAGCTGAAAATGGGGGAGCAGTCGCTGAGTCACTGGATTGCCTGAATTCCACCCCCTCTGGGTGGCTCCCAGCACCCCAAACCCTTACCCACTTTACAGATGCCAAGGCAAGGGCCATCTGTAAAGTTGGTGGCCAGAGCAGTTGGCGAAGTTAGGCAGCCACTGCCCTGTGAGCACGCCCCGCCCCTCACCTTGGCCTTGGTGACTTCTGCATCCATGGGGTGGTTGGCTTTGAAGATTTTCTGCGCCTCCTGCAGAGGGCTGGGGGCAGAAAGATGAAAGTGAGGGGAGTCCCCGGCCCTGCTCTGCCCCGCGCAGCTGTGGGCATGGCCACCCTGCCCCTGCTCCTCACAGGCTCAGCTGCTTCCAACGCTGGAAGAAGTCCTGGGCTGCCATCTCCGTGGGCTGGAAGAACTTGTTGATGGTCACCGGGAGCTTCAGGGTGAGGGACTGGGGTGCACCACCGTATCTGGCAGGGAGGCATGGGCTCCATGAGGCCACACCCCTCACCCGAGAACCCCCGCCCAACTTCACTGCTGGTCCACTCACCGGAAGCGCACAGACAGCAGCGGAGGCGTCAGGAAGTCCCTCAGACACTCTATGTTGAGCACCTGCTGCACCTGCGCCCCACCATCCACCTGTGCGGCCACACGCTTCGTCTGTACAGCCAGCTGTGCCCACCGTGGTCAAGGAAGCCAAGACAGGGTGTCCAGGGAGTCTTGGCCATGGTCCTTTGATTTCCTGGGACCCTCAGCCTGTGGGCCTCTGAAAGGCCCTGCCCGGCAACCCAGCACTAATTCTACAAAGTTCGTACTGTGCAAAACCTTGGGCCCCCCTCTGTGGCCTTCCACCGTGATCTTGGAACTCTATTATTGGCTCTGGTTGCAGACCCCAGCTCTTACAGCCTGGGTGACTATGAGCAAGCTACTCAACCTCTCTTAAAACCTCAGCTGCAAAATGGGTATGTGCAACAGGTCAGGGGTTTAGCTCAGTGGCACTGCATCTGCTTCCCAAGCGCAAGGTCCCAAGTTCGATCCCCAGTACCACAAAAAAAACAAACACGGGCACATGTAAAATGTCCTCAGGAGTCAGTGATGCAATCCATTAGGAGCATGGCAAGTAATACATATGGATGGTAGCAGCTGGTGTCACCACCTGCATCCATGGCTGCCTTTGTGTCAACCCATCGGTAAGGAGTGGGTCTTACCTCCCACCCACCTGTGCCCCATGACCAGCACACAGCTGCCTACCGGGACCTCTGGAAATGATGGATGGATGGATGGATGGATGGATGAAGCAACTGAAAGGGTCCCCAGAGTTTTAGGGCCCAGCGCCTTTCATTTCACAGGTGTGGAAACAGAGGCCCAGAGAAAGGGGGGGAATGACTGACACTGTCAGTGACCTTCCCGGGGTTGTTTTTAACTGCTCTGATCTTCACAATGGCCCTAGCAAAAGGCTCGGAGAGGCAAAGTGACAGCCGGGTCTCACAGAGCAGCTCTGGTCAGCATCTAAACCCAGCTGTGGCTCTTGAGTGCAGAAGGTTCTAGAATCTTGGGTGTGGAGCCCAGCGAAGGACCAGGTCAGGATATGGGAGGCACCTGATGGACAAACTGAAGCCCAGGGCACTGGGGTTCCTGAAGTAAGGCCTCCTCTGTCATATTGTCACCGCCTGTCCTAGGGGGATGATGTGCTCTTAAGAGGGCCGGAACAAGGGTCAAGACCTGGTGCCTCAGCCTCCCAGTGACCAGCAGGGCCAGGCCCAAGAGGATATGAGTCTGGAGGTCTCCTGGGTGGACGACCGTGGGCAAGAAGTTCTGGAACTGCACGGAGGTCTTGTTGCCATAGAAGAGATACATGCGGCCTGTAGGGGTGGGGGGCTCCATCCGAGTTCCTGTCTCCTGGCACCAGCCAAGCCAAGGGCTCCCCACCACCAACCCTGTCCCATGAGGCACCCAGACACACCCAGGTTCTGCCGGAACTCCGATTTGACTCCGATCTGCAGCAGCTGATTCTCGAACAAGACCCCGTTGTTCTTGCATACAAACCTGATTGGGGTTGGTGGGGGTCAGGCACCTGAGCTCAGGCATGGGCTCCCCACTTATCCCTGTACCCCTCTCCCAGCTCGCCCAGGACTCACTTATTCAGCAGTTCATCCGCTTCTGGGACGGGAGGGCCGATGTCCTCAGGACCTGGGCTAGGGGCCGGGAAAGGAGTAAGATGGGAAGGGGCTTGGAGGCTGGAGCTCAATGGGCGTGGGACAAGGCCTAGAAGGACAGAACCTCACAACCTTAGAATCCACATACCCAGACTCCCCAGAGCTTAGGGAACCCTAGAACCAGACTGGCGGTTGTCACTAATTTGAATGGGACCCTGCCAGGTGCCCCCTCCCCATCAGAAAACCCCAAGTTCCACTTTCCTCCAATTCCTGCCATGGTTGAGCATCAGGAACCCCTTGCCAAGGGCTCCCAGTCCCCTAACCCACCCCCCCACCCCCCGAGGCCACCCCTTACTCAGCAGCTGGAGCTGGGTCAGCCAGCAAAGCCATGGGGCTCTCAGGGGCAGGCGGCTCCAGCTCGCTGGGCCATTCAATCCCAGAGTAGACAGAAGACAGGCGTGGCAGGCAGCCAATCCCAAAGAGGCAGCGAGAGGGCCGGAGAGAGGGAGGGAGGATGAAGGAGAAAAGGAAGAGCAGGCTGAGAAACAGTGAAGGGAGAGGAGACCAAGGTGGCCAGGGGTGGCAGAGAGTCCAGAGTGGCCAGATCGGGCGGCAGCCAGGGCTGGCAGAGGCTTCAGGACAGAGAGGAGCGAGCTGGGCTGGGGCAGGGGCCTGGCTGCAGTGCGGTACCTGAGGAAGGCTTCCTCGGGGGTGGGGCCCAGGCTGGGCTGGGCAGCCGGGCCATCGGAGAACACGTCCACCAGGAGGTTTCCCGCACTGGCAGGAGCCGGGGCTGCCGCTGGGGGAGGGGCTGCCCGCAGCCCCAGGAGGTCAGCAGAGGGCGAGGGGGTGGACTGCAGGAGATGGGGCCACGGTGAGCCCGGGGGCGGCTGCAGGGCTCGGCCTGGCACAGGCGCAGCCGCCCCCGGGCTCACCACGGTGCTGGGGGTGGGCTCCACAGCCCCATTGATGTCACTGCTGCTGGCGTCCCTCCGGCCGTCATCCAGGGCGCTGGCGGCCCCTGGGCCCTTCTTTCGTTTCAGCTTGGCCAGGATGGACGACTCGCGCTCGGGGAAGGGTGGCATCTCCTCCAGCACCGTGGCCTGCGGGTTGGGTGGGATGGTCAGGGGAGGGACACTTCTGGTCTGGGGAGAGGGAGGGTCCCGAGGGCAGGCGCAGGGCTCTGACCAGGACATCGGTGCTGGCCACAGAGCTGAGGGTGAGGTATTCCACGGCGCGCTGCTGCAGCTCCACATCGGCGTTGCGCAGCTGGGAGCCGGCCCGCAGCACGCCCTGGATGGTGGCCTTGGTCTCAGGGAAGAGGTTGATGAACTTGATGTAGGTGGACAGCAGCAGCGCCCGTGTTGCAACGCTGCACAGGTGGAACTTGGAATGCAGCAGGGAGAACTGCACCGGCGGGCTGCAGGCGTGGGGATGGGGTGGGGTCAGCAGGACCAGGCTGCCCCATGGACACCCCCCAGGGAACCCCCCCAGGACCCCTCCCCGACCACACACTGGCCCAGGGGCTGAAGCTCCCAGAGACCCAGGACTGTGTCTGTTGCATGGCACTGTCCCAGATTCCTGGGAGGTGTTCGGGTGACAGGCCAGGAGGATTCCCAGATCTCCATCATTACCAGCCCTGGGAGCCCTGGGCGTGCTCCAGACCCCTTAGAAGTTCAGACGTTCACCCTGAGCCTGAGGCTCCCTCACCTGGAGCGGGGATCCCCAGCAATCAGGTTCCCAAACTCCCCAAGGATGTAGCCACCGACTTTCACCATGTTCTCGTGACAGGCTGGGGCCTGGAGGGCCTGGGGTGGGCAGGGCGGGGACAAGAGGAAGACGATCTCTGGCCCTGCCCCTTGGGGGCTCCTATGTGCCCAGCCCAGAGCAAGGGCCTGAGTTAACAGGCAGAATCCTCACAGCTCTGTAAAGGGTTACAGATGGGGAGACTGAGGCACAGAAAGTAAGTGACTGGCTCCAGCTCATAGGAGAGGTAAAATGGGGCACCACTGGCCCCCCCACTCCTGGGGACAGGGAGTGGGAAACCACCAAGACTGAGGGAGGGGCCAGTACACACCAGCACCCCACACCCACGCTCCGTGGACTCTGCACAGATCAGTTCCCACGTGTCCCCTGGAGGTCCCGAAAGGCAAAGGCATGGAACTGAGGCCACACTGGTAAAGAAAAACCAGATGGCGGCCCGGGCTGGCAGGGCCCACAGCCAGCTGTCCTTGCCTGGCATCTGTCCCACCAGAGGGGTCAAGGTGAAGGACGCTGA